GGACACGCGATGGTGTTACCGTCATTGTTGCTAACCACAACGCATAAAAACAGACGCTTGTCTGTCGGTTGTGTGGTTATATTAAATATAAGAGAAAGAGAGAACTTTAAGAAATTAATATAGCCACTACAGTGACCATCAAAACGGTGAAAAAATATTGCCGTAAACAGTTTATTTTGTGACATCACGAAACAAACGATAGCGTAAAATGAAACGATAGACGTTTTTATATCGTCATCCGATATATATTGTTATATCGAGCAGCCCTAACATAAACCCTCAAAAGTAGGCCTAAACAAACAAAAAAATTAATCTGGGCTTTTGATGAGGACACATCACAACTTCTCACATTAAATTCTTGTTGTTAACAAATACGCTTTCATAGGATCTTCTTGGTTAAAGACTGAACCAGTTTTCTTAGATTATATTGTAAGGTGAAGACCCTGAAATATTATTAAGAATGAGTGAATTAGAAAAATGTTAATCTGTTGTCAGCATGTGCTCGTTTAAGGTGGACTGAGCCGAAGTGGAAAGCTGTCCTTTGGTCTGATAAATCAAAGTCAGGAAATCATGGAACAGCCATTTCTGGGCTAGAAAGAGACACCATATAGCTTGTTATTGGTGCACAGCTCATAAGCAATCATATGTGACTATATGGAGTACCATTAGTGCGCAGGGCACCACTGTGTTGCATCATCTCTTCTCCTTCTCTGAGTGTTTGGGAGCTAAGGAGTCCAAATGGTTTTGCACTGTTGCAGCAGGATTTCAGCTGCTCAGGAGGTAAGAGCCTGCTTTGTTGTATTATTCATTTTGTAATGCTCCAAATGTTTTTTCAGTGGGTGACAGCTCTGGAATGCAGGCAGGCCAGTTTCAGAGATATTATGAAAGACAAGGCATGAAAAGAATCCCGAACTGTAATAGGAGAAGAGATGAGGGTTAAGAGAAGCCTTTTGAAAGACCTATTTTGGGGCAAATAAAACTACATTTCATGAATTTTCTTGCAAGCTTTAAGTTTACTCCATGACTTTATGCAGAAAAACTAATGAAAGATAACTTGTTTACATGATTATCTGTGTGAACACCTATATCAAAGCAGAGGTTTTTACAGTTTGCTGGTTTGGCCTCTTCAGGTGCGTGTAAACACAATGCCACAATCGCCCCAGGAGTGGATGTCCAAGCAAATCCCAGCATTGCACAGTCAAACCATGCAATACTCAAAGAAATCTAAGAGCTACATCTCAGACTCTACAGACTCTAAGTATGGCTTGTTTGGAAAGGTTCACTCTCAGTAAAAAGAACATGGCAGCATGGCTTAGCTTAGCTTATCCTAGCAAAGCTGCATCTGAAGAAAACTGCAAGACTTCTGGAACAATGTACTTTATTCAGATGAAACCAAACCAAACTGGCCTAAAAACCAAACTCAGCATTTCAGCACCCACAGCTCACACCAGCTGTCGAGTAAGGTGGTGGAGAGATGACCATTTGGGTTTGTTTCCCACCCACAAAAGCTGGGTACCGGGCAGTCGTTGAGTTGACCATAAACTCTTCTGAATACCAAAGTATTGTAGAGTCAAATATGAGGTCCTCTCTGTGACACAGAGCAGCAAATCTACGACAAAATGTCTATAAACGGAAACTAGCGGTGTTGCAGTGGCCCACTGAAAGTCCAGACCACAAACTGACAGCACATAAACAAATGTCCACAAACCTCAATGAACTGAATTTTAGAGAAGAGTAGGTCAAAATCTCTCCACAAATTCAAGTTATATCAGCTCAAGCTGGTTTTACAAGCTACTGAAACATGGGTTGTGACAAAGTGGCTAGGACTGAATTCATTTACCATTTGTCACTTGCATATATTGTTATTTTGTGTTCTGTTATGTTTTAGTCAATTATAATGCTTTAATGTAAACACAGCACATGTAACCTTGACTCTGCATACTATCCCGGCTCTGTTTGTGGTAGCATTGGTTACATTCAGTACATCTGTGTTCCTGAAGCTAAATGTCACTTAATCATTAGTCGATTTTAATCTTTCATTTATGTAGTTTGGTTATATTTACCACTGTGTGTTCCTTTGTGCAGGTCCTATATGTGAAACAGGTATATGGGAAGGGCCGCCCCAGTACTTCCTGTTTTTACAGGATATTATTGATCATGTCAATTGGGTGTAATGAAAATGAAGGGGTGTTTCTTTTGTGTAAAATAGTTTATTTCCTTTAAACTAACCTCATGAGTCGGACTGTGTGAAGAGATTGACTTTTCAAACTGTTTAGTTGGATAAATGAGTTTGTTGAGTTGAAAAATGATTTTATTCCTGTTTCTTTGTCTAGACTGTGTTATTTCGTCTACCCTGTTTTCTCAATGGTAGAGGTTAAGGAGGTTCAGATGTGAATGGAATTCTGTATGAAGCAGGTGAGATTTTGACTGCCAGGCTCTTAAGTTTTGGTGAACAATTGTTGAAAGGCGACGCCAGAAAATAAAGAACACTTAAAAGAAACTTGAACAGTGTGCAGATGCTGTTTTCCTATCACTTTCCATGCTGCTTATGTTATGCTACCTTCAAAGGATTGCACAGAGCTGTATAAAACGTATTTTTACACATGGATGCATGTGCGTGAAGGTATCTTGAAATAGCTGTAAAATTACGAAACACTCGCTTTTAAAAGGATTTTAGTAGTTTAACACAATATAGCTGCAATCAAGTATAAGAAGAAAAAATAAGATTTATTTTTAAATACATTGTTTTTGCATTATTTCTAACCAAATACGGGTTTTTTAAGACTTGCAGAATCACTGCATGCCACCATTTTTTCAACAGAGTTAGTGTGGAGTTCACAAACTGCCTACATGGACAATAAAATTCAGAAGATTACAAATAGCAGCATTCAAGCTGCACATCTCAGGGGACACAGAAATAGTTCTATGTTTGGCTTTTTACAGATAATCAGCAAGCATTTATTCTCAAAAGAAGGTGTTTTTGTGTTTTGTTTTTTTATTAAAGCATTCAAAACTATATCCTACATCCAAACTACATTGGGATGTACAGTACTTTATTTATTATTATTATAGGTTATAAGTTAAGTGGTTTGAATCTTTTAAAATCCTTCTTTTTTTAATGAACGTGCTCTTGTGCTTTGGTTGAACTGAACTTAAACTTTCTGTCTCCAGTTTGTTAGTTTCTCACTTCTCCAGACTGCAAGATTTCCTGTGTGGAATGATTTTCATGAGCAGTGACCCATTAATAAAAGTTTGTCAAGCAGCAAGTGTCAGCATTCAGAAGCTTCCCAAAACCACTCCAGACACTTATTTGTGGGTTTATTTTAAAGCACCATCTAAATTAACTTTAATGCACAAAGTCAACAGTTACATTTGCTTTGATTTTGATGACTATGACCCTGGGATACAATCTTAAAACCTCTATTTTCATTCTCCTGTTCTGCTTCTACCACCATCTTTGCTGTTCCAAAAGTACCCTAAAAGCTTTAAATTCAGGATTATTGCTCCATCTCTATTGCACCTTAACATCTCTGCTCAAACTATCTGTTCTTATGCTTTTATTTCCTGATTCTTTTGCAGAAAGCACATGAGCTGTACCACAAGAACATCGCCTGCATGCTAAGAGCAGTGACAGCCTTGGTTTTAAAGAAGTGGTGGTCAAAGAAATGCCCTAGATAAGCCCACCCACATCCTTTTTACTGACACATACATACTAAAATAAACATCACCACAAAAACATATAATGGCAATGGTAATCAGAATTAATACTCATTGTGGTTCCACATTTTCCAAACACTATTCCTTTATCAGTTACAGTCTGCAAAGCTTCAGTTTGTCAGTGTACATTTAAAAGAATACAAGCATGTTTACTGGATGCTTGCACTGAAGATGGGCATGGTTTCAGCATACAATTGTACCACATCACAAGCCTTGAGAAAAAACATTTTTTCCACAGAAAGTTTCAGTTACTGAGGCATGTCTTTATTGAGGGAAGGAAACACGAAGCTCTTCATCTCACTGTTTAAGACCCAAACCCAGGAAAAGCAACATGCTTGAAAACAAAATGCATGCTTTTGGAGTTAGAACTTTCTGTGTAAAACACACAGACACACAGACACACACATTCAGGGGAGGCTCAGGGCACCATTAATAATTACGGTTAATATGATCTCACTTAAACTTGAGAGGGGACGTGTAAGTCAGCTCTTCACAGCTCTTGCAAGTGCATGACGCAGAGAGAGAGAACGAGAGAGAGTGTGTGAGAGAGGACATAAAGTGTATGTGTGTGTGTGTGTGTTGTGTAATGCAGCTGCTGCGTGATGATCAACATCCACAAGCTTCTTTACCTCGCTAAGTAAGTGTTTCTCCCTCATTTTCAATTGATGTGTCATATGATGTTGGATGATCTCACTGATGAAACTATCAATGTACAGCTGTGGGAGCAGGCGTAAATAGATGGCCTCTTCATTAGCTGAGCTGGAGATGCTGACCATCTTGTTTTCTCTCCTGGTTTTTGCCCTCTTCACACTTGGAGGGATGCTCAATGAGGAATGTGGACAGTCAAATGGTACAACTAAGACACACACACACACACACGAATGTCTGGACTGTGACTTAGCGTCTGCACTCACACTTAGGTAAAATAGCAAAATATTAGAGCACCAAAATACTTCAAAAATGATTACACATTTCAAATAATAATAATATATAAATACATATATACATTCATACATATAGGGAATTTTTGTCATCATCTTAGTGAAGTTTGTCAACTCTGCAAGCATTAAGCACGTGTGGCACACATGTTTAACGAGATTTGGATTTCCACATAACAGAGTTATTTCCACATACCTGAGACAGTTATTTCCACATAACTGAACTTAATATATCTTCCTCCTGTCAAAACAAACCCGTCTAATTATTAACCTCAGATTTGAAGCGTTATCTTTAACCTTATTTTCACACAATAAGGTTCTCTTTGTATTTCATTTGACTGGAATTGCTGCTTTGTTTTATATATTTTATGTTTTAGTGATATTAAATTATTATTATATTAAATGTATTAATTTTTTTCCATTGCTTCATTTATACTTCCACTTAGAGAATGCTTCAGATAAAAAAACTACCACTAGATCACAAGGCAAACTGTCGAGGCAGGATATAAGATTCTTATATATCTATTTACAATCTACTATCATGAATGAACCCCACACAATTTCTATCAAATGTATAAATCATATTTTATAGATTTATGTATATATACATATACATACATTATTACATTTAATTCTAAGATTCGATTATGATAGGTCCATTTTTTTTAAACATTTATATTTAATAGCCTACAACATGAAAGATGGTCAAATTATTTTGTTTGGCAACACATTAATTATTAAATGTTATTAATAAATCATTATTATTTTATGTGACCAGATCTGTGATAAAGTATTGCATTTTGAGGTGAAAAACCAAAGCAATTAACTTTCTGTTTCCATTTTCTGCAGAGACTAACACAAACCCACAAAACGATGTGCTGACTGTCTGACTTTGATGAGGGTTATGATTCAGATACAGAAGATTCACAGGGGAAAAGCAGCCCTTTGAGCATGTGACAGTCAAAGCCCCCTCCTGTGTGAACCTGTTGGTTACCGGAAAAAAGGTTGAACTGATAACCTCTGAACATAAGTGCATGTGTACTTTGTTAAAGGATCTTGCATTAATAGCCTCCAGGATGAGGCATAGGGGAGTGGCCGACACTACACATTGTAAAACAAAAAAAAAAGACTGAACAAAGAAACGCCTGCTTTAACAAACAGTGTCAAGTCAGTATCTCGCGCCTGTGAGAGTGTGAAGACAGAAGGGTTTTATCTAACCTAGATCTGAAAGCAGCAGCTGTAATTCTTCTACCAGTAAGTTTTAAAAGCCTAACCGTGCCTGCTCTTCTTCTTCTTCACTCTTTTCTTGTACCTCCTCTTTGAGTTGCTCAAGGATGTTTTCTTCTACCCACTGACGGTTACCTTTGATACTGGTAGGCAGTTGAAAAATCTAGGTCAGAAACAAAAGGTGTGTTTGGCAGGTTGTGAACGAGCCATCTGATCACTCTGTTGAAATGAGAAGTATGAATCACTTGTGCCAAGGCTCAAAGGCTATTGTTAGTGTGAATGCCTACATTTACAGAGAGAAAAATGTAGGGATCACAGGCCATCTGTGGTCAGCTACACTGATTCATTCAGCCTGTCTGTGACAACATAAAAATGCTCTCTCTGTTATTCAGCACCAGCTCTTCATAAACATGTAAATCTATAACTATTTTGCTTACCTGACACGTGATGGCTAAAGAGTTAAAACAAAAAGAATATAATAAAGGATGTTTGATTCTGAAACTGCTGAAGATTAAAAATGTATTCACTGATGTTAAGTTCACAGAAAGTCCCTGAAACTTCAGTGACTGTACTTTTTTCTTTGATTTTTCACACTGACTGTTTTATTCATGGGAACCCGGCCTGGAGTTTCAGCCTGCCACTCATACTGCGATACCACTGTACATTTCTTAACTTTCTAAACCCAGCAGGTGATACTGCTGAGGTTGTGTGAATTCTCACATTTCAAGCTGAATATAAAGCAGAGAAGTCTCGAATGTAATGCCAATTCCAAGTTTCTACGGCCCTCTGGTGGCAGTGCACGCAGAACTGCACTCGAAGGATTGCAAAAGCCTTTAAAAAAAGAAAAAATCGTCTTCTGAACTCATTTACAGCCTGATTTGCTGGGCAGTTTACAGAGAATTAAACTGTTTAATATTTAAAAATGCGCTCCATTTTCATGAATACACACGGTCCATAACTTAATCTTAGAAGTATACACTTACCAGCCACTTCATTAGGTACATGTTAGTATTCATTTTGCGGTACAGTACCGCTTTAATTCAACCTGACATTGATTGATGATTTGTTCATACTGACACAATAGCATCACACAGCTGATAGTTGTCGGTTGCACATACCGATCTTCCGTTCAACCACATTCTATCGGATTCAGGTCTGGTGACTGTGGAGGCCACCTGAGTACAATGCGCTTATTGTCATTTTCAAGAAAGCAGTTTGAGATGATTTGACCTTTGTGACATGGTGTGTTATCATGCTGAAAGCAGCCACCAGAAGATAGGTCCACTGTCAGCATAAAAGAGTGGACATGGTCAGCAAAAATACTCAGGGAGACTGTGGCATTTAAAAAGATGCTCAGTTGGTACTAATGGGGCTAAAGCATGCCAAAAAAACATCTCCCACCACCAGCAGCCTGAACAGTTGATACAAGGCAAAATGGATCCATGCTTTCACACCACACCAAACTGTGACCCAAATGTTGCAGATAAAATTGATATCCATCAGATCAGCAACATTTTTACAATGTTCTATTGTCACATTTTGGTGAGCCCGTGTGAAATATAGCCTCTTGTTCTTAGAGGACAGAAGTGGCAGAAGTCTGCTGCTGCAGCGCATCTCTTTCAAAGTTCTCACCATTCTCTGTGAACCGTAGAGATGCATTTAAGCAGTTTCTGAAATACTCAGACCCCCATTTGACAACATAACACATTTGAAAAGATTAAAACCGCCTTTCTTTCTCATTCTGATGCTCACTTTGAACTTCTGCAGGTCATCTTTACCATTTCTACATTCCTAAATCCACTGAGTTGCTGCCATCTAACTGGCTGACTAGAAATTTTCTATAACAAGCAGCTGAACAGGTATACCCAACACAGTGGTTGGTGACTGTATAATTAGAAGCAAGAAGTTTAGTGAGCTCGATTCAAGATTGTTTGTTTGTCACGTGCATGGTTATACAGGTATAACACGCACTGAAATATGACCTGATACGCTCCTCGACTGTGCAAAGAAATAAAAAAAAAGAGATCCTTTCTATGAGTAGTCTGCATGTTCCAGCTTTGCCAGTGTGGGTTTAGTAATTCCAGCTTTAGGCGTGGAAATGAGCCTGTGTGGTAGTTCTGTCTGTGCCCGAGCATAAAATTATACAGTGAAGCTACACTGTGGCAAAGAGTAATTTCTTCATTTCTCTGTATAAATGAGTCCTGTTTTGTGTTGTATAGTTGTGTAGATGGAACTGCTATTCACTGGCTTTGAGCTGACCTTCATCATTGTTGCCTTCATCATCTTCACTCTCTTCAGTTTGGCTTCAGTCTGTTTTCAACCACAGGCAGCCCAGCCAGGTACACATTTAGCCTCTGATATCACCACAGAAACCAACGTCAGCCTCTCTAACGCCGATTATCTATGCTCTATCTCAGAAAAAGATGTCTATGAAGTGAAGAAACTGCGGCCATGTAACAGGAAGCAGAGAGTGATCATCAAAGAAGCTGGACAGAACACATAAAGCAAACATTATAAACCCCAGCTGAGTGAAGGCAAAACTGAAAACACCGCTTACTGTTCTTTTTTTTTTTTTGTATTAGTGTTGACGCAATGCCCATTACAGTAGGTTCCCACAATAAAGATAAGGTGCCAATAAACTTGTACCCTATTAATTATACAGCTTCGTGAGTTATGAGTATTGTTATAAGGCTGAAGGTAATCATTTAGAAGTGTAACACAAATTGCTAACAGCATAACGTGATCTCAGCATATTTGTTTAGGTATCTGGAGAGGACGATTAGCTAAACTTGTAGAGCAAAGATCCTGTTTGTACAGTTTATCACTGTAACACCACATCTTTTCTTTCCTCTATGATAATTTGCTCTTTAGCTCCATCTACAGTTTTAAAAAAGCATCAGCTGAATTCTGAACTGAGGCCACAGAAAAAGAGGTAGAGTTAAATGCCGTGGAGCTGAAGAACCAGACAGAGCCGAACACTGATGCACAGATCTCTGACAAGCCGTGATGTCTGAGTTAGGATTTAACAAACCAAGTGACTTTCGGCCCCTGCAGCCCTCGTGGGGTGACATCCCAGGGGGTTAGAGGCTGCTCCCTGTGGAGAATGCCCCTCGACCCTTAAGCCCTCCGTCACTCCTCTGCAGTCAGCCGTCTAGCAGTTGACATGAAGCGGAGGAGGAGCTCCAGAATAAATGATGATCCTGTGTGTGTGTGTGTGTGTGTGTACTGGGTGTGTACTCCTGTTCATGTGTATATGCAGCCATTGAGGTTAGTATTGGGCTGTTGAAGAGATAAAGGGTCTTCAGAGTAATTAAGCTCTGGCTGGATGGCTACAGCCCTCATTAACACTGACGATATTGTGGCATGACAACAGACCCACTATCACTCTAATGATGGTCAATGAACTCAACAGGCCACAATACACACCCGTGCACACAGACACAAGGACAAGGACACACCCCTACAAATTCAGACATCACGGCACATTTCAACTATGACCACTCGTTTCATCACCTACACTCTGCTCCTGAATGAGAAACAGAACAAGCCACACAAGCTCCGGCCATCACGTCAGCTCTTTGATTCATAAGACCTTAGACTATGGAAACATCTCACGTGCAAACCGTCCTATAAAGAGAGGGGTGATCGTTCTTAAAAAGAAACAAACATAAACTCTTCCATATAAAGCACAAGGAGGTCATAATTATATGCAATCTTTGGACTATTTGTGAAATTGTGGTCTTATAATGCCAATATTTGCTTTTATTCTGTTTATTTTGGTTTTCTTGGTATTCATTCCCTCTTCTGTGCCAGATAACCAAATAAATATTAACTGTAAACATCAGCTTAGCTATTCAACCACATTGTCTTTGAACATTCACCCATCACTAAACTGACCGAGTCTTATTTTCAGGCCAGCAGTATTTGCAACAAGGCTTATAACAACCTATATGCCTATATTAGCCCTCATTATTTTCTCATGTAATCCATTCTGTATCAAATCACCCAGAAATTTCCCATAAATTCAGAACTCATTCACATTGTCTTTCTTGAACAACCAGCAGTGTGTAAAATGGAAATGTGTTCAGCTTTCTATCATAACATGTAGCCCAACTGCTAAATATTTACATCTGAGAACCTACGATGAAAAATATTTATAACTAAATATCTCCATTAAACCGACTGGTTCTGGTATCTTTGTTTTTAGCAAAATAAATCCTTGATAAATCATAATACTGTGTTATATTGGTCATGAAATATTTCAATATCACCATTGAGCAGTCCCGCTGCTCATGATTTTTTAATATAACTGTGTTCTAATGTAAAAGGCAGTTGTGTATGAATAGTAATGTGAAATGTGGTAATAAAAATGGAAAGTTTATTGGGTTTATTTTGTTCTATCTCTAATGCAAATTAAAAACTGTGGCACAGAGAATCACCAGATCCTCAACCATCATCAAATCTACAGCTGTACTGCCATATCAGCTAAACATCAGTATCGACCTATGTGATTGATATCAAGTATAAAAAAGTGGGCGTTGATTTGCCACATTAACTGTGCGCTAGATAAATGTTTGAAAATAGTGTGTTAAGGAACTGAGAGGATGACCTGTCTTTTGTTTATGCCTCCAGCGAAGTTGAAAAGACTTTCAAGAACAGTGATCTGGAAGCTCAATGGGGAAAAAAACTCACTAAAAAGTTCTACTGGTCACCCATCTACAGCATGTACCTTATATTACCATTTCAGTGTTTTAATGATATGTGCTAATGATCACCCAAGTCTAAAAGTTACAGGGGCATTTTATGGAGCACTGTTCTTCCGTGCAAGTTTCGTCAGAGATAAAGAAAGCTCCTTATCTGCTGATCCCGGTCAGGAGATGATGACAGGGGAAAAGAAGAAAGTGAAACTTTAAGAGGAGGGGAGGAGATGCTGTAAAGTCAGTACAGCTGCTGGGAAAACCAGGACGGCTGTTAACACTCGTAATAACAGCAGCCCTGCAGT